GGGGGGGGGGGGGGGGGGGGGGGAGAGAGAGAGAGAGAGAGAGAGAGAGAGAGGGAGGGAGGAAAATTAACAAAATAAAAATATAGTTGTTCTAAAAAAACTAATTTTGAACTAGACTAGGCATAATTGCTATGTTCGAGTGCTTGTTCTTGGTCAAACCAATATATACCAGGCAACAGACCATTCTGGTCAGTTTTTAAAACATCCATATGAATGTCTGGATGGGAAAGAACCACAAATATACGAATGCTTGAGTCCAGCTTCTCCCATCCATACAACATATTCAAAATATGACGAAAATACTTTTAAGAGATTTATAGATCGTTTATTTGGGATAATCATATTAAATTCTGAACCTTAGCAAAATTAACTATGTCCAATTATTTTTAAAAAGGAAAAAATCAGGTACTATAAGTTAGAAAACAATAAAAAGATTCTAAACTAACCAAACCTAGCACACATTAGTATCTTAAACCAAGAAAAATTGAAACAGAAAATTTGAACTAAGGATTGCAATTTAGTACCAGGATCCCATACCGGTCCTAGGCCAAACCGGAAGTACTGAATGATACCAGTACCACTGCTATTTTAAAAATTCAGCTGAAAATTAGAAGAAAAAAAAAACTCATTTCTTGGTTCTTTCACTTGTTTTATTGGTCTATACAATCAAATTAAATAATAATAAAGAAAATGTAAATATTGGTAAATCAATACTTGCCAGTATTTTAAATATTCAGCAGAAAAATCAGCCATAAATTATAGATAACCCCATTTCTGGGTTCTTTCACCTATTTTCTAAAATATACAATCAAATTAGATCTAAGCTATAAAACAATAGAATACAAAACTGCATTGCTTAGTGGCTAAGAATCGAAGGTAGTCAAATGAGTATTGCTCCACCCAAATTGATATGGTCACAATGGACACATTGTCAATAATGACATGCTCAAATGACAATTTATAAGATCCTTGCTTTGGGTCCATTTTCCTACAAAGAAACATTCGATCGTATCCATAAATTCAAAATCCTATTATGATTTTATCTAAATGGTTAAACCATATATTGTGCTAGGTGACCAAGAAACAATAAACCCTTAACTCAATTAACATAACATGGTCTAGTTAGGCCTTAATTAGATACACGTGGAACAAGGAACCCTTAATTAGTTCTTAAATGCCTAATCATGCAGAAAAAATACATTGTCTTCAAGCTAATTAAATGAAATTAACTTAAAGATTAGATTGTAATATTACCTTGATTTGAAGAGAAGTGAGACCAGATTAAAAGATTGAATCCCTCTTATCCAATTGAACCTTCCTAACAGTTTTACAAGGCAATTAACAATCTTAACCATGTTTAGGAAAAAAACCAACAGAGGAGAGGTGAGTGAGAGTGAAGGGGATAGGAGGCAGCCAAGAGGAACTTAAATAAGTCCCCAAAGGTAGCAAACGTCAAATTTGTACCAAATTTTAGACCAGTTTAAAAGATTGACTCCCTCTTATCCAATTGAACCTTTCGTAATAGTTTTACAAGGTAATTACTGAGCTTAACCATATTTAGGCAAAAATCAAGAGAGATAAGAGTGAGTGAGAGTGAGAAAGAGAGTGAAAGAGTGGGGGAGAGGAGGCAGCCAGGAGTGACTTAAATAATCAGCAAAAAAGCAGCCAATGTCAAATTTGGACTCAAATTTGACCAGCTTGCAATGGTCAAAATTTGACTGTACCATCCAGTATCCAAGGTGTACTACCTGGTATGCCTTATACCGGCCTGATTTCGGCCGAAATGGACTTGGTTTGTGAACCAAGTAGATTGTACCAGACCATTTTGGTAAAAACTGCAGTACATGATTTGAAGTTTTGAACCATTGTGTTTGATGTCAAGAGGCACAGAGAGAGTAAGATAGGAATCAGAGAGGATCAACTGCATAAAATCAGGAACAGCTCATCATAAGAATGCTTTCTGGAAAAACAGAACAAAAAGATCAAGAATATTAAACAATGCAGAAAAACACAAAGGCACAAGAAAATTAAAATCACCAAAGACAAATATAGCCTGAGGTAAAGAACAATCTAAAGCATAATTTCACCCCCCAAATGACGAAAGCATGTGCACTTACATAATATGCACCACGTTATGTATAGATATAATACAAAAAATTATTAGCCTAAAAATAGGTAAAATATTTTAATTGATAGTACAGTTCAGCACCATATGCTGATTTGACCATTCCCAATGATCCCCGAGCTGCAACCATGAGTAACCCAATTTTTTTCTAAACCATATTGACACTGCCAAACTTTTAAAACCACGATTAGGTTCATGACACAATCATGCTGATGTCTACTATGCATTAGCACAACACCGATATGCCAGTATGTATCAAATATAACAATTCCAGTTATTTCCTATTTTCATGACAAATGGATAGGACTTGCAAAGTGACTAGAGGAGGCACGTGCATATTCATCATTCAATTAAATGGGACTGTTTCATAAAATATTAACAACAATCAATACAAAGGAGTTGGTTGAAAAGATGAGATGTCATTCTACGCTTGGTAACAGAAATTGGAAGAAATGCATAAAATTATGCAATAACTAGTGAAGAATACTAGTAAGGAAAATACAAGATGAGGCTACACAGAATTATTTGATTCAGATCTTCTGCATAGTGGAAGCCAGACATCGCTTCATTCAGGATGAAACATTAATCCTAAATAAATGGCTCCATGGGAATGAAACCTAATTAGACAAGCAAAACAAGATTAATAATACATGCAAGAGACCAATTTTTGCTTTACAACTACAGTACATATATCAAACCACAGAGATGTCAGTAAGCATATCAAGTATATTTATCAATGGCAACAAGAAAGACTTTAAAGAAAGCTAAAAATAATCTTACAAAAGGATGCAAAAGGGTGTCTTCTTTGGAACAACAACAACAGAAGCACCTGGGTTATGTTTTGGTGCATATAAGTTGAGATTCATAACCATCAAGTTAAAATTGTCTCAGATATTGGAGGTGAAGTTTCAACTACTGAATGTTATATGAATATAATAATAACAACAACAGGTCATAATATTCCAACTATTTAGAGCAAGTAACATGAATCTTTTGCCACCATTGAACTCTGTACATACTACATAAAAATCTCCTCGGTTAAACTAACAATATTTAAATCTTTGCTTATTGTGTCTTCTTAGGTCATCATTTATTTCTCTTTGCACCACTACTACTAATTATCATACCTCTTTCAATTATATATCTATAGGCCTCCTTGGCAAATGCATATATGATCTCAAACGATTCGTCATCATTCTATCCTTTATTAGAACTACACCTAATAATTGACGAATGAAAATATTTATTTTTTGTTACAAAAACCCGATATATCCACCTCAACATTCTCATCTCAGCCATACAAACTTTTTGAACAAGTTTCTTAACCACCCAATACTCATATTCATAAAGCATCACTAGTCTAACAATTATCTTTCAATAGCATGATTTAACAAATTTCACTTATCTCTTCGACTCTTAAGCACCTATGCTAGAACTTGTAATTCTACAATGCAGAAAATTAATAAACAATATCATTTCCCTAAGCATCCAACATAACATATTGGTTATTTTAAATTTAAAACTACTTACAAAGCCTCCAATATGTAGGTCTTAAAAATGTAACTGAAAAACAATAGATGAAGTACAAAATTTATCAAAATTATGATCACCTTTGGCAGTCCTCCAATCCCAAGAGCCAGATCAAGCTTTAGAGAGCCAGTTGATATCACTGGAGCAGACCGTGTACAGAAGAAGCGGCTTAAAGATAAGTTTGATTCTCTATCAAAGTCACCCACAAGTTGATGTAAAGCAAGATTAAGTGTTGACTCTTTGTCCATAACTTGTTCAGCATCAAAAGGTTGATCCTTTTCATATTCAAGCAGTGTCTCAACTGAGTAATGAAACTTTGAATCAGCAGCCATCTTTGGTATGTTACAATATAACCTACCAGTTGCTAATTCTTAAAACAGATATACATGTTATGTCAACTGTTGCTCACTTTCATTGAAACTAGTTAAAAAAAAAATAGAAGATTTTTAAACAAATTTTTTTTTGAAACATCTATTTGTGGAGTTGATGGCACAAAAATAATAATGGACTAACTAAACTAAAAATCCATGTTTTTGTTCATAATGCACAACATTGAGGCACATAGCAACAATATTAAGCAGAAAGATAGATAGCTTTAGTGGTGCAAGTGTCCTACAATGTATGACGAAACATGAACATGTGCAGAGTTCAATACACTAAAAATATATTTCTTTTTATTGCCATCAACAAATCCAAGCAAGCATCTTGTAAGGATTTGGGCAAAGAAAGCAAAACTTCAGTTAGCAACGACCAGGTAAGTAGACATGATTTTTAAGTAATAAAAATGTTTTGATCTAAAAACCAACTGAACCATGTCAGGAAACAAATTTCAGATAACATGATGAAAACTAGAGAAGGAGGAGAGGAAAAGCAAAGAAAGAACACCCTTGAAAACTTATGAAACAAAAAAGTCTGTCTTTTTCATTTCATTCTAAGACTCAAATCCAAGTCCAAGTACCCTATTTTAAAATCTAGAAAATTCCTAAAGAAAAAGTGCATAAAACATATAGATGTAGGATAAAACTGGCTGAAAGTGGTTATAGATAATGGTGCAAACTTTAAAAAAGATGATGAACAATTGAACATCATGCGCAGCCTACTATATCAACCTGATGATAGACGTGTTACCTAATGTTGAAGTAGGGGGAAAAAAAAGTTAAAAGTAGACAGTAGCAAAGGCACGAAGCATCACTCATTCATTCATAATCATCTTCAGGTTTATGTATTGATATAAAAATTCACACAGGAAAAGCTGTAACAGTCAGATGTTACTCAATTTACCAACTTCATCTCCTTGAAGTCCATCCGTTAAAAAAGGAAAAAAAAAAAGTACCAATGGCAATGTTTTCATCGACTAATGGACTAGCGTCCATTATTCTAGCTCATCAGATCAGAAGTCCATGCAGAAGTACATACAGGAAAATCTCCAATAGTCAGGTGCTACTCAATTTACCAACTTCATCTCCCTTAAATCCATCGAGCCAAAAAAGGAAAGAAAATGGATCGACGGCAATATTTGCATCAACAAAGACAAAGAATTTCTCAATTGCCCTTGCAACAATCAAGACAAAGAATTTAAACAAGCCCCATACCTTATACCATAGATCAATTATAGAGTTCTGTAAGATGGCAAAAGTTGTTATGAACCAAGTGACTCAAAAGCACTACAAGCCAAATCTGACTAAAGTAGCTATTACATGACTGAGTGTGGTGCATCATAGCCTTACAGTTGCCAAGTCTGGTACAAAGAAGAGGAACAATCAGCTTATTATAGCAAGATACTAGGTCACTTGTGGTGGGTAAGCATTGTTACTAGTTGTCCTTAACAGTTTTGGTTTGGTTCGCAGAGTTTTAGCCAAAGTGGTGGTCAAGCTGAATCTAAGAACTTTCTCCATTTTATTGTTAATTTCACCAAAAGAATTGTCATAAAAGAAATAATTGATCATGGAAGTAAAACCTTTAGGCCATGACTTTGATTTATTAAAGGCCTAATTGTTGCAGGAGGCTGACAATTTAATCAGTTTCATAATTAGCAGGAGGTTGGTGTTCTCCCTTTAGTTGCACAAATTTAATCAGTTTTCAATTATTAGTTCTCATAGTAACTTGGTTATTAGTTCTCATGTCTCTGTAAGAAGCCCAGGACACAAAATCGATATGCACAAAGTGAAGTTGCAGCACTATGAGAAAATAGGCTACAAATTTTGGCACCTGTATATCACGCCATGGCTCATAAAGAACTGGTCAACAACAATAACCACAAGTATCAGTTCAGTTCTTTTTAGTTGAACCAATCTGGTCTGGTTCTTTATAGTTGAACTAATGTGACCTACACATCCTCCCCAAATTACACCCCCTCCCCCCACCCCCCCTTCTCTCTCCCCTTCCGCCTCCACCTTCGTTGACTCGAACTGATTCAAAGATTTTATAAGGGCAAAACAAAACTGGCATTTATAAGAAAAAAACGACTATGAGGGGCTTTATTTGATAATTACCCTTTATTTTTAACTCAAAAATTTATAATGGCAACTCCACTCTCATAGTAAGAACTAGTAGCATATAGAAAGAAATAACTCAAAGTTGATCAAAAATCATATTGATCAAGAAGGTATCAAAAATCAGGAACATGCTAATCAAGATTATAACAGAAAATTCCAAAAATATCTTCAAAATCAATATTTAAAGCAAGAAAGTGATAACTTACCTGTGGAGGATAGACGACAACTGATTATCCTAAACCTTCCATTGTTACTTTCTCCAATCTACTGGACCAAAGAATATCATGAGTAATTGTAATTTCATATGCAGCTTCTGCAAATGGAACATCCTAAACAGAAAAATGAGGTTGCCTAAACAACAAGAAAAGCTTTATTCACGGTCGACCAGTAACAACTTAGAATGACTAAATAGATGCACAGTTACCTTAAATTAATTAAAAAATTAAACTATTATTAACGTTACTATTTTAACCTTCAGTCGAACAAAAAAGTACAGTGAGAACGACGGGTGGAGATATGCAGTGTAATATAACACCAAGTCACTGTTTTATGTTGCTCCTAGATATTCAGAGAGCAACATCGAGATATTTCCGTCAAGGTCAGCCACCAAATTTCCATTTATATTGTGACAAATAACAACACTCGGTCAGTTAATCTACATCTCAACAGACCCGCCATCAGGAAGTGTGGCGAGGCAGTGAACAGATGCACGGAATATGTAGAAATGCATACAACAGAACGTGTGATTTCCCCTGCCAAGGGACGAATGTACACAACACGCACCCACTCGAGGGGTTAGAAGAACCGGCAAGCAGATGGAAAAGAGCACAAGAAATTCCGAGGAACGGCGCATAATGGTGGCACCGAGTTGTGCTACAAAGGACCAGAGTGAAATGGAGAAAGAGGAGGGAGCAGCACAGCACCTGGAGAAGAGAAGGGAGGCGAGACCGAAGTGAGGTCTGCCCCGGGAGGAGCGCGGGACGGATCGCGCGCAGAAGCGAGAAGGCGCGCGAGAGGAAGGCGCCACCCATGGTCGAAGCGGGAGATTGTGCGATTTTTGGGGGGCGGGTGGTCGAGGGTTTACATGTTTTAACGAGGAAACCTGTTTTTTCCACTTTAGTCCTCGGATTTATCGGATTTACATGTTTCCTTGGCCTGACACGTTGTGTAAAACGGCAGGCATCCGTAGCATGTGTCTGCCATAACACGGTCTTTTACTAAATGGTCACAACAGGTCAATAAAACAATATGTTTTTTTATTAAAAAAATGTTTTATATATATATATATATATATAAACAAGTTGAGACTACTATTTGAAATTTTTTTATTTTTTATTTTTTATTTTTTTATAAATTGACTTAAATATCCTTCTTCTTTTTTCTATTTTCTCTTTTTCTTCGTCCTCGGAGGATATTGTCGAGAGGAGAGCATCGACAATGATAGAAAGCACGAGGCAAAAATTAATAATGAGAAGGGGAAAAAAAAAAAGGCATAAGGTTGGCAAGAAGGGAAAAAAAGATAAAATTGATAATACAATGATGATAAACAATAAATAAAATATATTATTATTTTTTAAGAGGTTATAGATAATAAGGGGATTGTCCAAAGGATAATGAATAGTAAGCTTCAACGAAAAAAGTCAAATGATTGTAATTAGCTACGAGATACTAAAAAAAAAGTATCAGTGAATCACTTCAAAATAATTGGATGACAATTTTACACAATGTATACAAGTGATTTTTTTTATTTGTTCCTCGAAATTTAGGTTTGCGAAACAGAAACTTGGCTTGTAGTTGATAGTGTAACATAGTTGAGACTCCAATTTGCATTAATGCTCAGTTGAATTACCTGAAAAGTCTCTTACTTTTTCATTTTTCCAAAGAACACGCCCAATTTTTTCCCATAAATGATTCATGCATTTTTATGTGTCTTTTCCTCCCAATGGAATCCATTTATCTTTAAGACCAACAAGGTTCTAAAGATGATATTATAGTTTTATAATTTAATAAAAAATATTAAATATTAAAAGTATTATAATATAATGGGTAATACAGATTATCCTTATAGTTAGACATTATCAGCATCTCAGTTCGTAGACTTAAAAGTTTTATGTTGAAATCTATATAATTATGAAAATGAAATATTTAACCATATTTACCCCAAAGTTGTTGGCTTTACGATACAACACATGACAACATGTGTATAAATAACATAAAAACGATGAACAAAAAGATAATTTCAATGATGATAGCGGATGATGACGCCATGGGTGGTTGTTGTTGTGATAGTCGATAATAATAATGTAGTGGTCAGCAATAATGACGCGATAGTTGGCTTTATCGATGTTGATCCAAACATCAACGATAAGAGGAAGAGGAGGCAAAGTGATCAGGCATCTACGTCGGTGCCAAAGAAGGAAGAGGAGGGAGGTGAGACATCTGCATTTGCATAGATACTGCACCGCTTTGCTTCCTCTTCCTCCTCCTATGTCGCTCTACATTTGTATTGGTGCTAGAGGAGGAAGAAGAGGCACAATAGTGATTCCCAATGCGAAGGCTAACCATAATGCAATGATCCACTATTTTCGGTGTCTCGCTCGTCGTATCATTGCCGCCATCTTTTTTATACTCTCTCTCACCACCACAACGCTGGAGGTGAGTGGGAAGGAGGATGAGGGTTGTTGTCTCTCCCGCCATCAAATCAGTACTCTTCAAGCTTCTATTTTGTGTTGCGGTCAATCCTCGTCATATGATCGGATACCCTCCGGTTACGAGTGGAGCTGATCTGGAAGTAACTCGATGACCTTGCCGTTGTGGCCATGGCATACGCGTCATTTTGCGCACTAGCTAAAGCTCGAGAGCTCGAAGCAAGTGTTTCTCTTTTCGGAGCTCATCGTAACCTCTCCCTCCTTCTCACCACCCACCACCCCTTCCTCGAATCCGTCGCGCCACCGAACGAAGCGACTGTTCGAGGATTTGAGTATGCACGTTGACACAAACATCTCATTTACCTCCTCTTCCAACTCACTCGTCGTCGTTGACGATGCAAATGCCTCACCTACCTCATCTTCCTCCTTCGGCTTCGACACAGATACAAAGTGACGTCGAAGGAGGAAGAGGAGGTAGAGTGATGTAGCACCGACACAGATGCCTCACCACTATGTGTCCTCCTCCTCCTCATTATCAATATTTGGATCGGCATCAGTAAGGCCGACCACCACGTCATTATCGTTTACTACCACTACAGCAATCAACTACGGTGCTCCCGTTCATCACCACAATTGAATTTATCTTTTTTGTATATCGTCTTCCTGTCATTTATACATGTATTGTATTGTCGCGTGTTTTATTTTTCATCGATAAAATCGATAACATTAAAATAAATAAAATTAAATATTTTATTTTCATAATTATAAGAATTTGAATGTAAAATTTTAAATATAGAAACGAGATCGGAGGTCTTCCCTTCGGCCTTTCTCCGGTGCTGCTTTTACGGACACGGTTATTGTGATGTTCAACATGAATGGTAGTTCAACATGACTCCTTAACTAAATCCAGGGAAACTTGTCAGCAAAATGACTCCTAGATTATCAACAAATATCAGCTGATCACTAAAATGAAAATTTCCAATAAGTTAAATTTAAAAATCATAGTGATCTTAAAAGATGTTTGGCAGCAGGAATTAAAGTTTCACATGTCAAAAGTAAAAACATCCACAAGTATCAACATAATTACTGAAGACCTGAAAACCTTTGTATAAATTATTATAATAAAGATCCATAATCAGAACAATATTTGACTCAATCAACTAAATTAACTTGCTTAACTGAAGTAAAAAGTTACTTAAAAAAATTTTCTCAAAAGCTTCAAACAAGTATCAGCTCACAGTTACTATGATCGCCAAGGTTGCCATACAAGTACTGCATATAGTCCCCTACCATTTCACTTTCAATTCAGAAAATGAGCTCTATTTATGTGTGACAGAAGCTATGCTAGATATGCAGAACGTGCATAAAAAATATTATATATAAAGCAGCACAGATCTATCAGCACTATATCTGCCACAGCTTTCATAACCATTCAGGGAACGGACAGATGATTTATGTGTTGGTACCCCAGTCTGCGGCAAAATATAAAAATGCCTAATTTTCCATCTATTATGTCTGTATAGGACTCCACACATTGATTTGCTACATGCAAATCAAGAGTTATCACAACCTGTAACTAAAGGGAGATTGTAATACATTTGATAACCAGTATCTGAGGTACCGAGCAAAAATAACAATATGACCCAATGGCCACATAAACATAGCAAGAGTACAGTTGAAACTACACACTTAAGCTGCCAATTTGGAATCAGCCTCCTTCAATGCCCGAGCAAGATGAGTAATCCGGTACTGAAGTTTCAGGTTCTCTGCTGCAAGCTTCTGAATTTCCTTGGAAGCCTACAAGTCAAATGACAAGTAAATTTACTTAAAATGTACCATATGTATCAAGAAGAAATTTTGAAAATGATATCAACCTTATCTCTCTCGCTCATTAGCTCAGCCTGTGCAGACTCTAGCTTTGACTGAAAGTCCTTTACGATGGATGATATTTCCTTATTTCCGGTATCAGACTCACCTGAAAAAAAGTTAGCAATTATCCTTTAAGCACCAACTGAACTTAGGTCCTATCAAAAACTGGAGCTTACCTTTCTTAGCAAGCAATGCCTCCAGCTGTGTTAAACGATCCTGTAGTTTCAACACAATAGAGGTTGCTTAAAGACAGCAAGACAAGAACGCTTTATACTAAATTATATTTGTGCACACTATCCAAAATAACAGTTTAAGCAACAGAGCATTTTACTATGATAAGGGCTTGTATATAAAGCCAAAGATTTTTGTGACAAGTCTCACAGCAAGATACACTAGTATTCATCAATACAACTTTAGCTAAAAAAGGTTATTGATAAATAATAAAAAAGTGCATAAGCCTGTAAACATGGATTGCCACTTAATTGAACTTTCATCATTCTAAAGAATTGGAAAGGAAGTTATCCTCCATATTAGTATGTGACAGATAAGCAAAATGAAAGTTCACAATTTGAGCTCTGATTTAGTCAATCCTATAATCCTGAGAAACATTTCAATATAATGATGACAACCACAATAAGGAGGGGCAACATAAAGAAAACGTCATCCTAGAATCAGCTTTTTGGTTGATGATATATTTGTCCAAAGATAAAACCTCCAAATTAGAGATCAGCTTCATCTCTGCTTCCAATCTTTCAAATTAACCTAGCATTTCAACTTTCTAATGTAAAAATATTATCTGTTTTACGGAATAAGTCCTAACAATAATTAAGTTGACTGTAGAAGAATTCAGTCATCATGCATTTGTAGGTACAAGTACAAACGATAGCTCAGTTTATATAGCATGTGATAATAGCATTAGTGTATTCATCATCTTTAGTCATAGTATGAATTAAATAAATTGTTTAAGTTGCTAAATACAAAATACAAGATTTCAATATTGCTAAGTCATTCAATGCATTTATCCAAAAACAGAATGGTGATAGAGGACCTAAAACCTATGAAATTGTAGAGCTTTTAGTCTTGTCATTTGAGCTTTTCTTGAAAGGATCCTAGAAAAGAATATCTTGTATGGACATTTTTGTTTCCAGTTAATTGATATCTATAAAAACTAAACATTTTTAGGATTAGACCCCAAATATCAACCTAATTCAGATACAAAATCTGGATTACAGGAATATCATGAATTGAGACGTGGAACTCAATCGTTGTTACAAAAGGGTCAAATCATCGTAGGAGCTATGATCCTAACCATTTCACCTATTCTTCATCACTAAGATTCACTCAATCACATTATCAAGCAGTTCTCTCATGCAAGCTACATTACAAATTATGAACAGGCTTTCTCATATGTGCATATGGTCATGGCAGAAGACTTTCAATTTGAGGAATGATGCAAGGAAATTGTTTCGTAACAGGTAAAGAAATTATATATATATATATATATATATATATATCATTTCCTGTTTGACAATTGGAGGATCGAGGATGCCAGAACTAGAATAGAGGGGAAGATCACAATAGCTAATTTGATTATGAGTGGCCATTGGTTTTTTCCATCAGCAATGAACCTCAATGCGGGTAACTTCTTGGATAAAGTACAAACTTATCACATAAACCAGATGGAAAAAAAATTGATCTAGATTTCTAACATTAAAAAAAATTGAGCAAATTCTGGTAGAAAGAAAACACTGAGAACAATGGTGAAATTCAAGACACATTCCTCCTTTGGTTAGTTTTTAACAGCAAATTGAAAACTCATCCAAATGATGGAATGGGTTTTCTGCAACATTCAGAACATTTCTTGGCTGCTATCAATGGGAATTATTAATACCATTATCTTTCAACTGTACCTATTCTAAGAAAATCTGGGGGAAATTTCTGCAGTTTAGTGACATTCAAAGCCAGGTTATAATTTTTGGAACAAAAGTTTGTGCTTTCGAACCAATGTTAAATGCAACTCAAGAGTTCATACAGAGTTAAGCTGCAGCTGTGTATCAAATGGAATGGATGCTCATGTATTTACAAGCAAATACTATCATAGTTAGGCCCATAGTCAATGCTGTTAGATTGAGGTTCACAAGGTGACTAAATTCTGCTAATTCTCAGGAAGAGTGGGATTTTATGAAGCAATGAAGCTTAACAAGGGGTAAGCTTTGTCTGTTACATGGGAATCATAAGAGCTAGCAACTGAATGTGCACAGTGCAAATTCCCTCATTTGATGCCCTAGGTAAACTTCGTGAGATTTGATGATCTTTGATTCAATAAAAGGTAATTGATGGCAGTTATGTTGTTCTTGTTGGTAAGAAATAAGATTCTACAAAATTACCAAAAATATAGTAATTTCTTTTCCTAATGGCCACTACAAAATGGATGTGCATTCATAAACTTGGAGATAAATAACATAGTAACTTGTAGGATATATGTATCATGCAATCAAGCAATCTTTCTTGATGCCCCTACATAAAATTGGTGAGATCTGATGATCTATGATCTTCTAAAAGGTAGTATCAGGCAGTTATGTTGTTCTTGGTAAGAAATACAATTCTACAATCTTACCAAAAAATAGCAGTTCCATTTCCTAATGGCGACTACAAAATGGATGTGCATTCATAAACTAAAACATAAATAACATATTAACTTGTAGGACATATGTATTACGTAATAAGTGTTCCGTCAACATCATAATTCGCACTGGAGGCGTCCAAAGACAATAAATCATCGTAACCGGATAAGGCAGATCCATCACCTCTCAATCATAGTTTACGTTCCACACATTTTACCTATCAACAAGCGGCAATGCCTTCGACTGCAATAAACTGATCAAAACCTTCCGTTTGAGAAGTCAAGGATGGATCTAGATTTCAACCAAGAAAGTAGAACTCGATATCTAAGATAGATAGGCACATTCCAAGAATAACCTAAACAAAGATTGGCAGAGAAAAATCAACACTAACAAAAGACTCTAACGGTTGAAGCTTACGACAGCGGGACAAATACCTCGGCTTCGGAAGCCCTCTGATAGAAGGGCTTGAGGACCTCTTCCAGATTTGAGGATTTCTCGGCCTTCGCCATCGCCCTTCTTTTTCTTTCCTTTCGATAGCCAATCCTTGTGGTTTGTTCCTTGGGGAAAGTTATATATAAGTACCACGTGCAATGCACGTGCAGTTAATAAATGGCGTTTTTTTTTTTTTGCAAAATTGAATATATATATATATATATATATATATATATATATATATATATATATATATATATATATATATATATATATATATATATACATATAGAGGTAAAAATATCTTAGATTAAAAACAAAACTAACAACTTTTCACAAAT